GAGCAACTGGGTGCAGGTGGTGAGGGGGACAGGTCATATGCAGAGACACGACCATGCCACCAAGAGCTAGAGGAGAAAATAAGGGAGAAAATGGCCATGTACAGATAGGACCCAGTGACACAGAGGGAAAGGCAATGGGAGGAGAAGAGGGTGAAGTCAGTGTTTATTCATGGGCTTCAGGAGTGAGGGAAGGACACACACTGAAAGATGGCAGGCAGAAAGACAGGAGATTGAGAACATCATCAAAGAAATAGGTGAAGAGGAAATGTCTGAGGGGAAGAAAATGACCGATCAAGCTGATTTTCAGGACAGAAACAATGCGGAACAGGAACCTCCAAGAGAAACCATGGTTGAAGGATTCGGCAGCATACCAGAGAGTGTTCGTCTAGACCGAGGATAAAACAAAAACGAATGATTAGAACTGAGGGAGAGGTACAAAAGCAAAAAGGCGCTAGGAGGAGAGACAAAGACAGAATCAGCAGAGGACAACCAGAGCAGGGCAGAAAACAACAAGAGCAAGCACACACAGAAACACCCCCAGAACCTCACAAACCACCAATTGCACTATCCAACACAGACCACAGTCCAAACTCACAGAGCCCCCACCACCACACTATGCTGTAGAATCCCACAGTAACACTGCAAGCCCCCACCTTCACAGACCTCTCCAAACACAGTGCTAGAAGGAAACTGAAGGTAATGGGTACACATGCAGATGGAGTAAACAAATAAGTGGGAGGAGTGGCATGAAAGAATCAAAGAGGCATCACCGGCCCGGACATCATAGCCCTCACAGAAACCAAGCTCGCAGGATGATAACAGATGCCCATCTTTCCAATGGATTTCAGATCTGAGGAAGACAGAGGGAATACAGAGGGGGGTTGAGGAATGGCACTGCTGAACATCACAAACCAATGGGATTTTGATGACAGGAGAGAGGATACAGAGAAGCAAGACATTACATTGCATCTAACGCTTCAGTCCTGGAGGTCCCAAGGTGTAATTCCCTGTGATGTAAACCAGCCACAGAACAGGAGGAGGCCAAGCATGAGTAATGATGAAGAGAATAGAGCATGGTTGACACACTGGCTGAAGTGGTTAGAAGGCTCCATGCGAGCAGGGCAAAGCAACTGAAATCATGGGTACTTCATCACAAGGAAATCGATTTGGAGGGACTTGGATTCATATGGGGGCCAAGAAAACAAGGAGGGCTAAAGATGATGGAGGTGGTACTGGAAACCCTCATTTAATAACACATAAGGACACTACCCAGAGAGAAGGAGAGGATGAAACCAGTGATGACTAGACCTAGTAGTCTCCTTGAATAGTGCAGATATGAGGACATCACATAGTGGGAAAGACCCCACTGGGGGCCAGTGATCATGTGGAGGATAATAAGCTTCGAATGCATAGTAAAGTTACAAGTGGAGGGGGAAGCAGGAAGGGCTGACGAATGAAGCCAGACTTCAAGAAAGGGGACTAATGCGAGCATGGAGACTTCCTGAAATGGGGTTCAGTGAGACGAGAACTGCAGGAAGTCAGTAGAACGAAAAGAAATGAAGGAATGTGTTTTAACAACAATATGCCAAGAAACTGAGAGAGGTTTCTACCCAAGGGTACCGGAATAATGAAAAAAGCCAGGTGTGAGCCCGTGGTTCAACCCCAAAGGTGCAGGGAGAAAGGGCCAAAACCCAAATGTGCTAGGGAATGGAAGGATATAGAAGCAAGGACCCAGGAGAATAAGACCAGTTGTATTAGCCAGAAATGAATAGGCAGCAGGTAAGATGTAGGCCCAAAGGCAATAAGAGAATGACATAGTCATCAAAAGTCCAAATCTGACACCAATAACGTTGTTATACAGCCACATCAGTGAGGAAACAAGTCAAGGACCAGGTAGATCAGGCGGGTGGAAGAAGGGGATTTCACAAAAGACCATGAAGTGAGGATCTTCACCAAGAGATATTCAAAGAAGGTTTCATAGAGGAGACAAAGGGCCCTACAGAAAAATGCAGAGGTGGATTACACCATCCAAGTGTTGGTTGGACACATACATACAACTGAGAAGAAGTGAAGTAGGCTGTTTAAGCGAGCTAGATACCTCAAAGGCGATAGGGGCCAGATATACCATCTCTCCATGGGTCCTGAGAGAGGAGCAGAAGGTGCTTTGAGTGTCCACCTAACACCCATCATTCTACACATCTATCGAAGTTCTCTGACAGGGGAAGGCAGTAAGACAGAGAGAGAGGGATGGGGTAGATCGCATTTTTTCTTGGAACTGTAAGAAGGCGTTTGACACAGTTTCCACACAAGATTAGTGCGGAATCTGAGGACCGGGCAGGGGATACAGGGAAGGCACTCAGTGATCATGGAATACCTGTCAGGAAGACACATAGAGTCCATAGTACGTGGCGAGGCGTCAGAGTGGCATCAGTAACGAGCAGGGTCCACAGGGATCCAGTTCCTAGGACCATTGCTGTTTCCGTTCTGGTACAGTGGACCCTCAGCTAACGAAAACATTGTCTATGAATAAAACCACCCAACGAAGCGTTTGAGCGTAAAAATTTTGGCCTGGCCAAAGATGAAAAACTCGAACCAACATGAGTCCGTTCCGAACTGTCCGTTCCAGCCTGAGCGCCTCAGCTTGCCCTGCCGTCATTGTTGACAAGCCAGGGTGGCCGCTCCATGCATACATTTGAACATTTTGTATTATTCCATGTTTTAAGTGCTTGTAACTGCTAAATAAGCCACCTTGGCCCCAAAGAAAGCTTCTTAGTGCCAAACCTTGTTGGGGTAAAAAGGGTGAGAAATACTATCAAAATACTATCGACCACGGTCAGCTGTTGCTGCCACCACCGTCAGCTGTACTACTCAAAGATGTTGAGATACTGTTTTATTGTATGGCTTCATAATAACGAGAAAACAATACCGAGAATCAATTAACCGCAGAAGGTTAGCACCCAGATAACCCAAGAAAGTCAGTGAATCATCAAGGGCTGTTTAAACCTTATTTTCCATTAGGGCCTTAATCAATCTTGTTCCCATGATGGACCCACAAACACCAGTACGACTAACACCCAGGTGAACAGAAAAAATTGCCAGTGACAGTGCCATATTGTGAATTTTAAGGCCAACAAGGGTGTTGAAGAGTTTTTAAGAATCGTAGGGGCATACACATGGGATAAGTTTGTTTCTGAAGAAAATGCCAACCAGGACCTACATTACTCAGGAGGAAAAGGCACTCTCCCGGACACAAACAATGAAAGACAGGCTAATCTTTCTGTTTTGTTGTAATGCCTAGTGGGGGGTTTGCAAAGTGAAAGCCTTTACTCATGTATCACTCTGAAACTCCCAGTGTGTTAAGAAAAACAGTGTCTCCCATCACTCATCAGTACTCCTTCAATACAGGTAAGTGTCATTTTAAATTTACAAAAACATTTCCTTATATGAGTTATTGTGCATGTCCTCTATTGTTTTCTTTCTTTCTTTGTAGGGAATTTGTATATTTCATGAAAAATTTTTTTTTTTAATACATTTTTTGGCTGTCTGGAACGGATTATTAGGATTTCCATTAATTTGTTATGGGGAAAATTAAATTCGGCTAACAATAATTTAGTCTAACGAAGAGCCTCTGGAACGTATTAATATCGTTTAGCCAAGGTCCCACTGTATTTGTGAATGACATGACGGAAGAATAGACTCTGAAGTGTCCCTGTTTGCAGATGAGTGAAAGTTGATGAGAAGAATTCAATCAGAACGAAGACCAGGCAGAACGTCGACAGAGGAACTGACAGACGCAGGCCTGGTTCAGACACTGGCTCCTGGGTTCAACAAACCCCCACCAAGGTTGCAAAGTCATGAAGATTGGGATGGGCAAAGAATACCACAGACGGAGTGCAGTCCTAGGGGGGGCCAGAGCCACAAACCTCACTCAAGGAAAAAAGGATCTTGGTGTGGGTATAACACCAGGTATATCTGAGGCTCGGCACATCAAGCAAATAACTGCTGCACAGCATACGGGCGCCTGGCGAAACCTAAGAACAGCAATCCCGACATCTAAATAAAGGGATTCTTCAGGACCCTGTAAACTGTGTACGTTGGGGTCCCATATTGGAAAAATCAGTGCCAGTTTGGAACACTCACCTAGCCAAGCATGTAAGAAACTAGAGAAAGTGCAGAGGTTTGCACAAGAACTTGCCCGGAGCTAAGAGGTATTCCTACAAAAAGGAGGTTAAAGGAAATCGACCTGGATGAACCACTGGACAGATAGGAGAGTTAGGAGGATAGTGATAACGACATATAAAATACTAAGAAGGTACGTATAAAAGGTGGGACAGAGACAGAAGTATCCAGAGATGGGACACAGCACAAGGGGTCACAGTTGGAATCTGAAGACTCAGATGAACCACAGGATGTAGGAAGTATTTTTTCAGTCACGAGAGTTTCAGGAATTGGAATAGCTGGTATGATGTTAGTGGAGGCAGTGATCCATACATAAACTTTTCCAAGAGGTAGGATAAAGCTTCACAGAGCAGGAAGAGATGACTGGGTAGCAGCCAGTTGAAGAGGCAGGGGCCAGGAGCTGTGACTCAATCCCTGCAACCACAACTAGGGAGTACACATTATACAAGGTGTCACAATCATTTTAACCCAGTGGGTTTAAATGTTTCCTCATAAAATGTCCCAAGTGTTGCATACATCTTTCTATTACACTTGTGGTACAATTCGGTCCAAGAAATGCAGATGTTATAATTTGCAGTACTGTAGTTTAGCAGAGATTTTCACATTATTTATTTTCTCTCAGTTGTTTTTGGATCAACTACAATGATGTATGACATGAAAATACTTAGTGATATGTTCCATCAAATTATTATAAAAAAAAATCCCTCTCATTCATGTGACCCCATCATCTGGTTAATCATTGTATGATTATGAAAACACCAACTCTATATTGGTAGGTATTTCAGGTTAAGTGATGTATAATATATATATTATGTCTACAGGCACATGTATTTTACTGACTGGGGAAGGTTTGGGCACTTCAGGCAAGATCTATCGTTCCACAATGGCAGGGTCCTTTAAAAAGGTAATCATTGGAGATGATCTCTCTCAGCCCAGTGGCTTGCTATTGACTATAAAGAGAGATGCTCTACTGGACAGATGCTGTCAAAGAGAAAATTGAAAGATCTTTCCTCAATGGAACAAAGAGAGAGGTTAGTAAGCCTATGATTTACAAAGCTGAGTAATGTAATACTGTATTAAAATTATAGTTAGTTACAAATGTATGTTAGCTCTAGGGATTATTATAAGATGTCTTTGATATTTATTACTGAATATGAACATCTAGAATAAACCTGATTAATTTAGCATTATTGAAAGTTGGTATAATTAATTCCAGGTCCTAATATGTTACATCATAATACAGTACAGTACAGTACAGTATTCAGTATTGTATCTCCAAAACTGAAAGTCATCACTACAAAGTAGAGATTAAGCTGTTATTAACATAATTTCAGACAGAAATGAATTTTTCAGATATAAAAACATTCTGATATACACAAATAACTTGCACATAGAAACTTATGACGACGTTTTGGTCCGAAATGTTCATAAGTTTCTTACTCCTATGTGCAGGTAATTTGTATGTTGTTCCAGTCACAATACTGTGCCTTTTTTTTCTTCATTCTGATAAAAAAGCACCTGTTCTCTCTAGAAAGGTTTTTTTTTAATATAATAAAATAAATTCATTTAAAAATAATAAAATTTGGGAGTCCGGGCCCAAGAACAAAGCGAAGGGGTAGGGGAGTTTCGGGGGGGAATAAATGCGATTAAACGGGAATCCGAGAGAGTTAAGGGGGAAAAGGGAAGGGGTAGCAGTAATGTTAAGGATCATTTATGGAAGGAGAAAAGAAATGAATTAAAAATTTCAAGAATTATGGGATTAAAAAAGGTTTGGGATGCGAAAATGGGTCATAATCACGTGAACACTAGAAAGGGGAAGTAGAGGAGAGAAGAGATTTGGGAGTTTTTTAAGTAAATTTGAAAAAGGAGCCTTTGAACCAAGTGGAGAGTAATTGGGGTAGGGGCCCAAAAGCTAAAGAGGAAAACTTTTAGAAGGTTTGGGGTAGTAGGGGTCCCAGGTAAATGAAAGGGGCCCCTTTTGATTGAACTTTGTATAAAAGGGTTTTTTAAAGAATACATATTTTAAAAAAAGAGGAAAAATAAGTAACAAAAGAGTGGGGCGAAATGACGTAGTTTTTTGGGATTATTATTGGAGATAAAAGACTTTTTGAGTAGATTTCAGGATTACATTTTATAGAGGGGCCACAGTATACAGATCACTTTCTATTGACTACACTGAAAAGTAAAAGGTTAAGGGGGATACAAGGAGAATAAACATCAGTAAGAGAGAGGTAAAAGGTTTATAAACAAAAGAGGAGGCAGAGGGTAAAAAAAAAGCTATGGGGATAGATGGGCTAGTGGAAACATACAATGGGGGAAGAATTTGGGGAGAAAAGAAAGTAGGGAGAAAAAGTTAGCATATGAGAATTTTTTTAAACAAAGTAGAAGTGATGCAAGGAGGGAAGAGTATATGAGAAAAAGAGAGAGGTTAAGAGAGTGGTGAAGCAATGTAAAAAGAGAGCAAATGAGAGAGTGGGTAAAGATGTTATCAACAAATTTTGTTGAAAATAAGAAAAAGTTTTGAGTAGTATAACAAGTTAAGGGAAGCCTAGAGAAAAAAATGATTTGTCAGTTAAAAATAGGAAGGAGAGTTATTAAATGGAGAGTTAGAGGTATTGGAAAGATGGAGGGAATTTTTTTGAGGAATTGTTAAATGTTGATGAAGATAGGGAAGCTGTGATTTCATGTATAGGGCAAAGAGGAATAACATCTTGAGGACTGAGGAAGAGCCAGTTGTGAGTGTGGGGGAAGTTCGTGAGGCAGTATTTTAAAATGAAGGGGTAAGGCAGCCGGGATTGATGGGATAAAGATAGAAATTTTAAAAAAGCAGGCGGGATAATAGTTTTGGAGGGGTTTGGTGCAATTATTTAATAAATGAAATGGATGAGGGTAAGATACCTAGGGATTGGCAGAGAGCAAGCATAGTTCCTTTGTATAAAGGCAAAGGGGACAAAAGAGAGTGCAAAAATTATAGGGGGATAAGTCTGTTTAGTATACCTGGTAAAGTGTATGGTAAAAGTTATTATTGAAGAATTAAATAAGAAGGGGAAAGATGCAATGAACAAGGGCTTTTTTTAAAAGGGAGGGGGGGTTTTGGGCCCGGGGTTTACATGAAAAAATAAGTGAACAGTATTTAAAAATAAGGGAAAGAGTCTTTGTGGCATTTATGGATTTGGGAAAAGGCCTTGACAGGGGGAAGGGGGGAATGTTGGGAGATTTGCAGGTGAGGGATAGGAGGATTACTAAAGCAGTAAAGTTTTTTTCAAAGGGTAGTAGGGTCAATTAGAGTATGTAGGAAAAAGGGAAATTTTTCCCAGTAAAAGTAGGCCCCAGACAAAGGATTTTGATGTCACCGGGTTTTTTAATAATTTTTAATGGGGTTGTAAGAGAATAAATCGAGGGTCGGGAAGAGGCCCTGGAGTTTAAAAAATAAAAAACACCATAAAGTGGGAGTCATCACAGTTGCTCTTGCTGATGACACTGTGCTTTTGGGGAGATTCTGAAGAGAAGTTGCAGAGATTGGTGGATGAATTGGTAGGGTATTGCAAAAGAAGAAAATTAAAAGTGAATACAGGAAAGAGTAAGGTTATGAAGATAACAAAAAGATTAGGTGATGAAAGATTGGATATCAGATTGGAGGGAGAGAGTATGGAGGAGGTGAATGTATTCAGATATTTTGGAGTGGACGTGTCAGTGGATGGGTCTATGAAAGATGAGGTGAATCATAGAATTGATGAGGGGAAAAGGGTGAGTGGTGCACTTAGGAGTCTGTGGAGACAAAGAACTTTGTCCTTGGAGGCAAAGAAGGGAATGTATGAGAGTATAGTTTTACCAATGCTCTTATATGGGTGTGAAGCATGGGTGATGAATGTTGCAGCGAGGAGAAGGCTGGAGGCAGTGGAGATGTCATGTCTGAGGGCAATGTGTGGTGTGAATATAATGCAGAGAATTCGTAGTTTGGAAGTTAGGAGGAGGTGCGGGATTACCAAAACTGTTGTCCAGAGGGCTGAGGAAGGGTTGTTGAAGTGGTTCGGACATGTAGAGAGAATGGAGTGAAACAGAATGACTTCAAGAGTGTATCAGTCTGTAGTGGAAGGAAGGCGGGATAGGGGTCGGCCTAGGAAAGGTTGGAGGGAGGGGGTAAAGGAGGTTTTGTGTGCAAGGGGCTTGGACTTCCAGCAGGCATGCGTGAGTGTGTTTGATAGGAGTGAATGGAGACAAATAGTTTTTAATACTTGACGTGCTGTTGGAGTGTGAGCAAAGTAACATTTATGAAGGGGTTCAGGGAAACCGGCAGGCCGGACTTGAGTCCTGGAGATGGGAAGTACAGTGCCTGCACTCTGAAGGAGGGGTGTTAATATTGCAGTTTAAAAACTGTAGTGTAAAGCACCCTTCTGGCAAGACAGTGATGGAGTGAATGATGGTGAAAGTTTTTCTTTTTCCGGTCCACCCTGCCTTGGTGGTAATCGGCCCGTGTGATAATAAAAAAAAAAATAATTTAATATAATATAGGTAGTAGCTTAGTAGACAGCAACCACCCAGGGAGGTACTACCGTCCTGCCAAGTGAATGTAAAACAAAAGCCTGTAATTGTTTTACATGATGGTAGGATTGCTGGTGTTTTTTTTTTGTCTGTCTCATAAATATGCAAGATTACAGATATGTCTTGCTACTTCTACTTACACTTAGGTCACACTACACATACATATACACGTTTATTTATACACACTCATCTGAGTTTTCTTTGATTTTATCTTAATAGTTCTTGGTCTTATTACTTTTCCTTTTATATCCATGGGGAAGTAGAATAAGAATCTTTCCTCCATAAGCCATGCGTGTTGTAAAAGTCAACTAAAATGCCGGGGACAATGGGCTAGTAACCCCTTTTTCCTGTATAGATTACTAAAAAGAATAAGAAGAAGAAAATTGTCAAAGTGGGAAGTCTGAACGTGCATGGATGTTGTGCAAATGATAAGAAAGAGATGATTGTGGATGTTATGAATGAAGAAGCTGGATGTCCTGGCTATAAGTGAAACAAAGCTGAAGGGGGTGGGAGAGTTTCAGTGGAGAGGAATAAATGGGATTAGGTCAGGGGGTTTCAAATAGAGTTAGAGCTAAAGAAGGAGTAGCAATAATGTTGAAGGATAAGATATGGCAGGAAAAGAGGGACTATAAATGTATTAATTCAAGGATTATGTAGAGTAAGATAAAGGTTGGGTGTGAAAAGTGGGTTATAGTAAGTGTATATGCACCTGGAGAAGAGAGAAGTGTAGTGGAGAGAGAGAGATTTTGGGAAATGTTGAGTGAATGTGTGGGGAGTTTTGAACCAAGTGTGAGAGTACTTGTGGTTGGGGATTTCAATGCTAAATTGGGTAAAAATGTTGTGGAGGGAGTAGTAGGTAAATTTGGGGTGCCAGGGGTAAATGTAAATGGGGAGCCTTTAATTGAGCTATGTGTAGAAAAAGATTTGGTAATAAGTAATACATATTTTATGAAAGAGGATAAATAAATATACAAGGTATGATGTAGCACGTAATGAAAGTAGTTTGTTAGATTATGTATTGGTGGATAAAAGGTTAATGGTTAGGCTCCAGGATGTACATGTTTATAGAGGGGCAACTGATATATCGGATCATTATTTAGTTGTAGCTACAGTTAGAGTAAGAGGTAGATGGGACAAGAGGAAGGTGGCAACAACAAGTAGGAGGGAAGTGAAAGTGTATAAACTAAGGGAGGGGGAAGTTCGGGTGAGATATAAGCGACTATTGGCAGAAAGGTGGGCTAGTGCAAAGATGAGTTGTGGGGGCTTGAAGAGGGTTGGATGAGTTTTAAAAATGCAGTATTAGAATGTGGGGCAGAAGTTTGTGGTTATAGGAGGGTGGGTGCAGGAGGAAAAGGAGTGATTGGTGGAATGATGAAGTAAAGGTGTGATAAAAGAGAAAAAGTTAGCTTATGAGAGGTTTTTACAAAGCAGAAGTGTTTTT